TGCTTATAGTATCGCAATATATCGGGATATATCGTATCGTGACCCCTCTGTCATGATATGTATCGTATCGCCAAATTCTTGCCAATACACAGCCCTAATGGGAGTACAGTCCATTTACCATTTACTATGTCCTGCTAACTAGTACTAACTAGTGGAGTATCATAATGGTATAGATTCTCATCCAAACACAAATAAATTCACTCTATCCTTGCACAATTTATCTGGATTTTTTTCTAACAATAGCAAGCCAAAATGAAATATGAGTAATCACTTTCTTCTTACCTTTTTAAAAAATGTAAGGACTAGAAAATACAGATAATTGTGTGAAAATATAAGGAGTGGAAGTAAAAAGGCTGAAAAATAATTACTCAAGTAAAGTACAGATAAACCAAAATTTCTACTTAGGCACAGTAATAAAGTATTTGTACTTAGTTACTTTACAACTCTGGATTGAATTCTTTATTTTCCTGAACAAGGTGAAAGGAGCCAGAGTTGTCTACATGTAAAACAGGTTCATCTGCTACATGATAATAATGACAGGATGTTAACGACTTCTGTGCTGGAGGGGTATTACTTACACTGAATAATGATGATTTGTTATGATGCTTTGTTGCTGCTGCTGATGGTGTTTGTGCTTTCATGACAGTGTAGGTGCTGTGCTGCTGCATGGTGCTGTAAATACAGCTACACAATCTATCATTTTTTGTTAATTTAGGCAGATCTCAAAACGAGGCATGGGCAGCAACCAGTGTCAAGTTATACTACTGTGTTAAACGTCCTGTTACCTTGTTTTAAGGTTTAAATGCCTTAAAACAAGATAGACAGTTCTGTTTTATTTCTTCCCTCCTGAGTTGAGCTCTGAGCTTTATTCCCTCAAACCATGCAGTTAAAAAAAGACATTGGTTGGTTGTTCTTTCATCAGATAACCCAGTCAGTCATGGCTAGTCTAGAAGAGTTGCACTTATCTCGTTTTGTTTTACCCTAACATTGTGTTGAAACAGCTGTTTGTGACATGCTACAATGGTTAGCATGTTAGCAGGTGATATAATGAAGGCTAAAAACCAGCTAATATGAACTTGTCAGGCTTGCAGCATTGCTTTGCACAGCGCTGAGCAGAAAACAAGTAATAACATCATAATTACTTTAGAATAACAAATAAATTATCATTTTCTGTAGTTTATTTGGTGTGTTTTGGATCTTAAAAAAAAACAACATTTTTTTGTATTTTTCTTAAAAATGTTTCTAATATTTTCTCAAACATAAGAGCCTTCTGATGGAAAAATTTAAGCTCTAGATGAACTGTGACACCTACAGTGTCATTAAAAAAAGCTTAATGGTGATCTCTACTCACATCTTCTGCTCTCTCAAATGATGATACAATCAACATGGATTACATGGAGATTCAGTGGTAAAATAACAGAAAAAGACTTGATTTTGACACATCTGACTTCAGGAAATACAGGAAAGTTCAGGTCAAACAATGGTAGAAGGTTGAGCATTGTTTATCCATCCATCCATCCATCCATTTTCTTCCACCTATCCGGGGTCGGGTCGCGGGGGCAGCAGCTTCAGAAGGGAGGCCCAGACCTCCCTCTCCCCAGCCACTTCTTCCAGCTCCTCCGGGGGAACTCCAAGGCGTTCCCAGGCCAGCCGAGAGACATAGTCCCTCCAGCGTGTCCTGGGTCTTCCTCGGGGCCTCCTCCCGGTGGGACGTGCCCGGAATACCTCACCAGGGAGGCGTCCAGGAGGCATCCTTACCAGATGCCCGAGCCACCTCAACTGGCTCCTCTCGACGTGGAGGAGCAGCGGCTCTACTCTGAGTCCCTCCTGGATGACTGAGCTTCTCACCCTATCTCTAAGGGAGAGCCCAGCCACCCTGCGGAGGAAACCCATTTCGGCCGCTTGTATCCGGGACCTCGTTCTTTCGGTCATGACCCAAAGCTCATGACCATAGATGAGGGTAGGAACGTAGATCGACCGGTAAATCGAGAGCTTCGCTTTCTGACTCAGCTCTCTCTTCACCACGACGGACCGGTACAGCGCCCGCTTTACAGCAGACGCTGCGCCAATCCGCCTGTCGATCTCCCGCTCCGTTCTTCCCCCGTTCGTGAACAAGATCCCCAGATACTTAAACTCCTCCACTTGAGACAGGGCGACCCCCCTGACCCGGAGCATTGTTTAGGTCCTTTAAAATCCTTTTGTATCCATCCTCTGACTTGTACTTTTCAGTCATATCTTCTTTGGTTTGAATTAAGACAGTCACTTTGAAGGGGGTACATACTGTATGTATGCAGTTACTTATTTTAAATGACACACTTTTATCTAATTGGTGAAAAGTTGGTTTCACTTTGATTTACACTTTGCTATGGGTGTGTGCACTTTATCAGTTCATTTCAAGTATCTCAGCTGTTCCTGTGCTATTCTGGAGACAGGCAACTCTGGGGTATTTCTTGGGATCTGTTGGATACACTTTTGGGGATCACTGCTGTGACTCTCCACAACTTCACTCTTGGTATTTCTGCAGCATCTTGTGCTCTTTCTTCCTATTGTTTCACTCACTTGGCATCACTACATCTGGAACCACTGCCTTTATCTATGTTATACAGTTCACATTGCAGACAAATGTGACCCAAATCCGATTTTTTTGCCACATGTGACCCATATCTGATTTTTTTTTATGACGATCTGAACGCGACAAATCCGATTTTTTCATAACCGACCCAGGCCTTTTTAGTATGTGGTACTAAATCGGATACATATCTGACGTTTTTCAAATCGACTGCAGTGTGAACGCTGATGTCATATTCCAAGTCATGCTGTTTAAATCTGTAGCTCTTTGTGCTTTCAGCTCCAAAACAGACGTCTACTTGCTTCCTCTGTTTACTTTTAATTTTCCATGTAGATTGTATGATAATAACGTCCAGCCTGGGTCGCGGACCATATCGATCCTTAAGTTACTCGGTCGATAGGCCTACTTTATTTGCAGCTCGTTGCTTCGTTCCAAATATAAAAAGCTTCACTGGAGCATCCCAGCCATGAGTCTTGACTTTGACTGTGGGACCTCTACAGTAGTTCCTGTTCACTGTTCCAGTCTCGTTGTTTTGTTGTTCCAGGTATTCTCTGCCTGCATCTTGTATCATGATATGGTAGACCCTGGTCTCTGTTGCTCTTGTGTTGCCATGATTAGTGCCTCTGCTGTTCTTTAGTCTATATAACAGTATGTGTGTGTTTGTGTGTGAGAGAGAGAGAGTGAGAGAGCTTTAACTAAACATTTTATAACATGTAGATGAATAAATGTTTTAGATAAACGTGTTTTGGTTTTTGGTCCTGGTTATTAAGTACTTTCATCAATATAACAGAACTTTTCTTTGGATCTGAAGTCGTCTCCACATTCATGAGGCGTCACACAATGGAAGAGAATGAATCTGAAATTTGCTGCTAGGCAGCATTTTTCTGTTGTTGTTTATTCATCAACTCAGTGCTTGTCTGACTGACACTCATGCAGCGCTGCTTTGTGCTGCTGCTCAGCTTCACTGTTGCTCTTAAACCTTTCCAAAGGTTACATTTCTCTCTCAAGGTCCTCCTACTAGTTTTCGTTATGATGGAAGCGAGACGTTCTCTTAAAACCTGCTTTCATTCACCTCCTCAAGAGAAAAATATTTCACGCTCAGTGACCTTTGATATTTTTTGTAATCTATCCTGAATAGTTTGCAGGACAGTGTGACAGCAGATCTAGATGAAGTGTTTACACTGTAGATGATGATGATGATGATGATACAACATACAGGATTTATCATTTGTTAACTTTCAATAAACGATGCTTCTTAAATGTAACTGACACATTTTCAATCTCTGCACCAATTTTTTTCAGACAGATCTGTGTCACTGTGCAAAGAAGAAACACACTGACGTCTTCAGCATCTTCTGGTGAGTCTAAAATTAAATTTGTGAGTCCTTTCTTTGGTGTTTGCTTGTGTTGTCAAGAATATTTGAGGCAGCATTGATGACCAACCCCATTCACCTGTTCAGCTTTCCATGAACAAGTCCTGTTCACTTCCATCCATTCTTTTTTTGACTTCCATCTGTTTTTCATAAACTCATTCGGACTCTTTAGTTTCTGGTAGTAATTAGAACCAATAGAAAATTATTCAGTTATTTAGCTTGTGTTTGCCTGCAGCAGCTTGTTAAGTTGTATTAATAAAAATACATATTTAATATTATTATTATGCTTTAAAATGGAGTTTATAATGGATTTGCCCTCTGGGCACATGTTTCCAAAGTCACACAATCATCACTTCACATCTTCAACACTAAATCAAGTGGGGAAAAAAAAAACATTGAATGCATTAAAGGCCGAGCTAATCGATCCTGACTGTGCTTATCAGTGACTGTCAGGCTGACGAGACAATCTCAGAACTGCACAGTAGGCTGGAAACTGGAACAAGACAAATGTGTACAAACATTCAGTAGGTCAGCCAAGGACCCCAATAACAAACCCATCACTGAGAGTCTCAGTCCAAATGACTGGTCAGGATGGAACGACAGGAAAGATCACAGACACGTAAATCAGACCGACTCCGTAGCAAATGTTATTCTACAGATTGGGATTTTTCTCTACAGGAGAAACCAAACACCAACACATAATTCACAAACAAAGGCAATAATAACTTCTGATTTTACCAAAAGATGTTTTGACAGTAAAATAAGTTGTGTTTATTTTATGTCATGTCTTTACTTAGGATACATTCACACTTCTGACAGTCTGAATGTGACAAATCTGATTCCTTTTTTTTTTTTTTTTTCAAATCTGACCCAGGCCTTTTCAGTATGTGGTTCTAAATCAGATACATATCTAATGTTTTTCGAAGCGACTGCAGTCTGAATGCTCCTTTCACCAGACTTTTACTCCAGTGAGGAGATCGATCCAAGTATTTAGAATATTAATCCCAAACTTGTGGAGTTTAAATCTGTAGTTGTAGAACAGAAGTCCATCTGCTTAATCTTTGTTTTTTTTTTTCCATATCCTAGATGATAATCCACAGAAACATATGATAGTAATGTAGTTGGGCCGTATCGATGCTGAAGTTACAGGATCGATATTTCAGTTTTAGCACGTTGCTCCTGTTCCAAAAGTAAAATGCTTTACCGGAGCATCCGGTCAGAGACAGGTTCAGATATAAACACTGAACCAAACAACCATGTCGGACGGTTATTGAACCAACTCTGACTGCACAACAAATTCTAAATCAGCATGCTAACATGTAGCATCCAAAGGCTTCTTCTGTAAACAGTGAGCTGAATGTGAAGTCACATTATCTAAACAGGACTGTGTAGAGTTCTCACTGGAGTTAAAATATGTGACCGTTCACACCAAAATATCAGATTTTTGCAAAAAAAATCAGAATTATGCATTAAGACCTGCAGTGTGAATGTAGCTTTAATCTGATGGATTTGAGTTGAAAAAGCGATCATAGTGGTTTTCCTTTTTTGCACAAACCTGTACATTCCAGACTGAATAAAAATATTTTAGATTTTAATCAGCAAGTTGAAAACTTCTAACTTTAGCCTCTTTTGTCTCTAACAGTTTCTGGTGCTTTGCAAAATAATAAACTGACCACATTGAGGCATTTTCAGTGTGTGTGTGTCAACACACAGTGTGATTATATCAAAATGCAAACTGGACATGGAACTGTTTCAGCACATAAACCCATAGAAACCCCAAGAAAAACACAGTTTTTTGTTTCAGCCGGAAAAATAAAAACATCTCTTCAAACCTCCAGAAGGTTTTCTGTCATCTATCAGTCATTAAGGCTGAGTCAGATGAAAGCATCATGCTGTTTTGTGATTTGTAAAAGACCAAAGGCTGAACACAACCGTTTCAGTTTATGGTGAAATAGCACATTTATCCTGGGAGGAGTCTTAGCTCAGTGGAACAGATGTCATCTTCCAGTTGTTGAGAGTTTGACCCCCAGCACCTACAGCATGCAGAAGCGTCCTTGAGCAAGACACTGCACAACCCCCACCTAGCCATTGGCCCAATATTCATAAGGGGCTGATAGTTTTCACTCATGGTGCTGACTTTATCTTTGAATTATATTAAGATTAAACATGAAAAACATGTAACTACAAGACATATAGATTAGATTTCAGCACACATGTAGATCTGCAGACTTCATAAGATCCCAAATATTCATATTTTGTCAAATTATTAAGTGTCCCATGAGCCTTTGCTGCCCGAGCGTACATCAAGCTAGCCACCACACTGGCTGCTAGCTTAATATAGAAAATAAAAGGCCTTTACTTAGAAAGTAATTGTTTTTCATATATTATATTATTGCATTTGGCTCGCAGGTTTTTGTCTTGTTCCTCTCAAAGAAAAGGTTTGGGCACTTTTTAGGTTTTTAGTCTGTAAAAATCACTGTTTGTGTGAAAGGGTGGATGAAAAACTGAGTAAAGCAGAACCTTTAGAATAAAAACTGAAAACCATTTACTTTAAATATTCTCCAATTTACGTATTAAGTTTTGCTGAATCTATTCTTGCATTTCATATTTCATTTTTTTAATGCGTCATGGATGCAGTGTGTGTTCTCTGACATTTCCTCATTCAGCTGATAATAAATCTTCATTTCCAAAGGGCTTAGCTTTGCTGTGCTCTGAGTGGATGTTTGAGCTTCTGACCTCTATAAAGAGATAGAGGCATATATCCCATAATAAGACACATTCATCCAGATGACCTTCCCAGTAACCATAATATCTTAGCAGCAGGCAAACTGTCAGAGACTGGTTGTTTGACAGTGTGTCTGTCTTAGTGTTAAAGAATTAGAAAACGGACAAAGGAGCTTATCTAAGCAGTTCTTTGGCCAGACTTCCTGTTTGGTTGTGACTGTGTGTCTCCATCTCCTCCTCCTTTAGATAAGAGTCATTTTCTTTGGAAGCATCACTCCCAACAAAAAGTACTAATTTATTGTTCTGTGTCAGGCCTGGCTCAGGATTTTTTTCCTTTTCTAATAGAATTTTCCAAACGCAGACAGAATATTTTGAGACTGGGAATGCACATTGCCCGCTGCCAGACCAGCTTCATGCCAGAGTTTTTAACTCAGATTATCTTAAGCTGAAAAATAATGAAGGTGTTGCTGTTTTAGTCAATTCTTATGTGCACTCTCCTGCAGTATCACACAATGTTTTACACCCCATTGCCCTTTCTGACACAACCTGAGCCCAAACCTGCCGCCTCAGGGTTACAAGACAGCAGCACTGAGCACTGAGCTACTACAAGACCCTCAATCAGCCACAGATATTAGAAAGAGTTGAGGTGAAAGACAGATTTGTTGATTTTCCAGTCCCTCAGCTGTAGTCATAAGGTCTGGATCATGAATGAAACAGCAAACAAGCCGCTGAAATTAGCTTCTGTTGAAGGAGGTCAGGCTCCGTCAGAGAAAAGGCAAGGAGCTCCATCATTCGGATGGAGCTCAGAGTAGAGCTGCTGCACCTTCAAATCAAAACAAATCCGTTAAGTGGATGCCTTCCTGTAAAAGGGTTCTGGGCACGTCCCAACTGTAAGAGGCCTCAGGGCAGACCCAGGACTCACCAGAGGGATTATGTATCCTCTCTGACCTGGGAACACCTCTGGGTCCCCCAAGACGAGCTGGAAAGTGTCGCTGGACAAAGAGGTCAGGGCTTCTCTCCTGGACCTGTTGCCTCTATGATCTGATGTGTTTAAGCTACACATTCTCACTCCCAAGTCGTCACATATTGACGCTTAAGGTAAGGTTCCCTCTGCGTCTTATTTTGACGCAKMAGGTRMSCCCCTCGCGTCACTCCTTGACGCCCGCGGCTTTTCCGGGTTGCGCCACCAGGGGTCTTTGGGTCGAGGGTCTGAGGTTAACATGAGGGATCAGGATTAATGGTTAAGTTTAGGTACTGGGATCAGGGG